AGACTCCCCGCCGAGCAGGGAGCCCGATGCGGGACTCGATCCAGGGACTCCAGGATCATGACCTGAGCCGAAGGCAGTCGCTTAACCAACTGAGCCACCAGGCGCCCCTGTCTCTTCCAGTTCTTGAGATGAAGCTGGAAATGTAGATTTTTATTTGAAATCTCATGATTTTTAAGTGTTGAGCCCCAATTCAGATTATTTTAAAACTCTGGTAAAAGAACAAAAACACCACTCCACACCTGCCGACCCCTGGTCCTTGGTCTCTGTGGCATGGTACCCACGGGGCTCTTCCCACCCTTGGTCCGAGAGTGCTTCCGTCCAGCTGTACTGGAAGTGTCCTGTTTCTGTCCACACCACTGCTCTGATGTCAGTGCCAACCAACCCATCACTTAGCCCCACGCTGTCTTCAGCTTTCGCCTTGCATCTCCTTCACTCTAGAAGCTTGCGAAGTCTTTCCACATCCTAAAAACCCTGCTCCGCTCTACGCTCCCTTCCAGGGACTGTCTGGAAAGTTCTTTCTTTTCCCTTCTCCAACAGATTGCCGAACAGAATCAGTTGTATTCTGCTGCCTCTCTTCCTATCATAAGTTGGCTTTGTTCCTCCGCTCAGTGCTGTTTGAAGTCAGCCTCCGCCATCCCACTGAAGCCCTTCTGACCGGGGCAAAGGTCTCTGGCTAAATTCATGGAACTGCTCCAACTGGGCTCAACTCCTCATCCTCGGAGATCGAGTCTTGTCCTTTTTAAAATTTTACGACCAAACCGAGAAGTGTTCCATCAGTGTTTATTGAACCAAACCAGAATGTGTTTTCAAGAAAGAAGGACAGTCAGCATCATCAAATTTGCAGAGAGATCAAAGTCTGTGTTGGCCAAATGAAGCCCACTGGATTTTAAGAAAAGGAGATTGCTGGCAGCTTTTGAGGGCAATTTGAGCAGAGAGAGCTGGGAGATGTGTTCCTGTAGTTCCTGAGAAAGGGGTTGTGCAGTGGTGATGGGGGGTCAGACTTACATACAGACGATATGCACACGTGTACAGATGACACGCGGGAGGAGTTTGGCGCTGGGGGGAGAGGCACAGAGCACGAGTGCTGGAGACGTGAGCGCCACTTGAGATTAAAGCCCCGGCGTGCTGAATGTGCGCGAGAAGGGGTAGCTGAGAGCGCCCTTGGGGGGCGCTGCAAGAGAACTGACGGGTCAGTGAGGGGAAGGGACAGCAGGTGAGAAGTCTCCGAAGCAGGCAGAAGGGCTGATCACCTCTGGACTGTGTCACAGGCCGCGCTGGGGCGGGAGAGCCCCGTGCTTTCCGGCGATGAGATGCGGGCAAGCTCGTCTGCAGGCATGGGGCCGCGGGGCTGGACGGGGACCTCGGGCCATCTCAGAGCCCTCACTCTCGGCCAGCTCTGCTGCTTTTGCTCCCTCTGTGTCGGTTGCTGGGGACTCTGTCTTTGGCTGCCCTCCCTCTATGACTCCCTGTCAGGGAAGTGTCTGTGCCTGAGGTTTAAGCCACCTCCATGCTCGTGACTCTGATTCTGTGTTTGTGACCGAAAGGTCTCTCCTGAGCCTCCCTTCTGTGTGTCCAGCATATTTCACTGGTGGCTCCATATCTTCATGACTGAAACTGGTCATTTCTCCCTAATTCTTCATCCCAGCCAACGGTCACAATAATTTTGCAGTTGTCCAAGCCAGATACGTGTTTTCACCTCCCTGCCCCTCTCCCCCCACCACCCACGTGTGTATAGGTAGATACTGAAAAGAATAAGAACATACTTGTATTTTGTGTAGTGTTTTCTTTTTTACTTACTACTGTCCTGATCATTTTATCATGTCAATAAATGCTTTTTTTTACATTTTTAGTGGCTGCCTAGTATTATCTCTTGCACACGTACTAAAGTCTACTGCCTTGAAAATTGTTCCCTTTTTTCTGGGTGCCTGGGTGGCTCAGTCCCTGAAGCAGCTGCCTTCGGCTCAGGTCATGATCCCAGGGTCCTGGGATCAAGTCCTACGTTGGGCTTCCTGCTCAGCGGGGAGCCTTTTTCTCCCTCCCCCTCTGCTGCTCC